TTGCAGTAAATTTTATTCTGAATTGCGGTAAATTTGCAGTAAATTTATTTCGAATTGTAATTAATTTTTTTCTGAATTAAGACAAATTTATTTTGAATTATAGAAAATTCTAATACTAATAATTTGGAATATTAATTAAATATATATATAGATTTTTGACGAAAAAAAGAAAGTTTTCTACCAAATTAATTCAGATTCGTTCATTGCGCGTCGTCCATATGTAAATCAGAATCTGAATTATTATGATTGTCGCCGACCGTTGATTTTGATGGTTTTTCTTCTCCTTCCTTGTTATGGTCTTCATCATTTTCGGTGGTGTTGCCAGTTGCTGGTGTTGTCCCTCTACTAACTTCTTCTTCTTCATCATCATATTCAGTGATTAAACCCTGATCGATATCAGTATCAAATATTAAATCTTGTTGTTGTACGATATAAGACCATTCGGGAGCATTCGACGGATGTGGTCGGTCGTATTTTTGTACCTCATCGTCGTATCTACGTTCGCGTATTAATTTCGACTTATTTGACGAGTGTACATCGAGTACATTTCGTAGCAAATTTTTAAGCTGAAGAAACAATAAAATATAAAAATTAAATCCAGCGATTCGTCTGAAAAATAAAGATTCAGAAGTTCTAACCTCATCAGATCTCCACAAATAGTCGTAAATAGCAATTATGGACTTTGTTGGGTCTTCTTTGTCTGTCTCGCTTATTTCTGGAGAATGAAATAAGCGATTGGATAACATCTTTAGTAATCTACGCTTATCATATTTTGTTATCCATTCATCGTCAAAACTATATAATCTCTTTGCCGCCTTCATTCGGCGGATTTTCTTCTAAAATACGTTATAATTTGAATAAAATTCAATACATAATCAGAATAAAATTCAGCATAATAATTATAAATCATTACTAACGTCGTGTACTCGATTGTTTGAGTGCACCCGGTGTTTATTTTCATCGGCTTTTCCCCTATCTATTAATCTTTGATGAGAACAACGAGACTTGTGGAGACAACCCAACCATTTTGTAAGTTGCTTATTCGAAGCGGGAAAACATGGAGCAAGGGCTGAATGCAATTCAGGAACTAGCCTACGACGAATCTTGAGATTTTTCGCGCTATTGAACATTTCATTGTAATCTAGTCCTCGAGTTTCATCGATGGTTTTCAAAATAGACTTCATTTCAGCCTAAATATAACAAATAATGATAACCGGTACTTAATTACTCAATACTGCAATTTTAAATAACTGAATCAGACAAATAAAATTAATATACCCTAGCTTCTTTTTCGTCATACTCATCATTATTGTTAGAACCAGACCGTTCTTCCTCCGATTCTTCCTCGTATCGCTCAGACTTTTTTGTCTTAATTCTTTTTTGACGTTTTGCCAGCTGTTCGAGATCCGTCTGCCTATGAATGGCTTTAGGCAGACGGATTCTCGAATACCTGTTTAAGCTTTTGCGTAGATCGTCATTCTCGTCTGCAAAGGCCTCATTTATTCGAGTCAAAAAATGATTTTCGTCGAATAATCGGTTATTTTCGCGTTGAAGCTTTGCATTCTCTACTTGTACTTCTTCAATTTATTTCTTTAATTTTAGATTTTCTAAATAAAGAATTTTATTAATAGTAATATTTTTTTACGAATAATTCTGAATTTATACAAATGAAGTCAAAATCGTACCTGCTTCTAAATCAGTATCGTCGTCATCGATCATCCTTTCATTACCTTGATCGTCTTTAACCACTAATACGAATTTTTGTGGAATTCGAATATTCCCATATCATTTTTTCATTTCCGATAACATCTCTTGTTGATCTATAAAAATTATTAATTATCGTACATGTCAATCAGCAATTTTCCAAAATTCAATTACCTTTAGGAATATTTGGCGGTTCAATTTCTATAACCTCATCGTCAGACT